TGTGCTTCAGCCACCCGGCGCTCCGCTCGTTGTTGTGAGCGTCGCTCCTCCGCCCTCCGTTGTTGTTGGAGGGCGACTGCCTCCAACTGCCCAGTAGCATCCTTCACGAGCCTCCTCCACAGAGGCCGATCTTCACACCGCTGGTACCAGTCATCGGCAAGTCCACTCAGCTCCACGTCCTCCCATACCACATCACTCCATCTCTTCTCTAGCCCGTGCCGTGCCCGTTTAGCCCCCTCAATCCGGCCGGACAAAAGCTGTTTCGGCATGCGGTGGCTGGGCATGCGGGCTACATGACCCAGCCATCGCAGCCTTGCCCGCCGGAGGAGCTCACCGATGGGACCTTGCCCAGATCTTTCAAGGATTTGTGAGCTCCTCACGCAATCTAGTTTGGTTAAACCCAGGATGGATCGTAGGCAGGCCAGCCTAAATGTTTCTAACCGGCGAAGATGTTCCATTAGGGGGGTCCACGTTTCGCAAGCGTAGAGAAGGGAGGGAATGACCGTGGCCGACAATACCTGAAGCTTAGTGCAGAGCGACAGACCAGGTAGCTTCCACACAGCGTTACGCAACCGATGAAAAGATATTGCCGCTCGACTGATTCGGAGTGAGACCTCTGCTGTTAAACTGGAGCCGGTCATAAGCACACTGCCCAGGTATGGGAAACTCTCCACTCTCTCCACAACTGCCCCATCACCGATTGGGAGTTGTGGGGGTGGAGTGTCCGATGGTACAAAATACCCAGGCAGATGCTTAGTTTTGGTGGGGCTGATGGTAAGGCCCCACCTCTTAGTGGCACGCTCCAGTCTCAGCAGCAGCGTCTCCAACTCCTCCTCTGAATGAGCAGCTATTACCAAATCATCGGCATGCATAACGTGGTTGAGCAATAGGGAGCCATCCCTTGAATGCACCCGGGCATCGATCAGCCTCCCATTATATCTTTACCATAGGGAGATTCCCCCGGTACAGCTATTGAAGGCTTCACGAACTACGTGGTCAAAATAGATGTTAAATAATGTGGGAGCCAGAGGACATCCCTGTCGCACCCCAAGGTGTACAGGGAATGGCTCGGACTCCTGGCCACGTAGTTTTACCCGGGCCCGTTCACCATCATGAAGGTCCTTAATGATCGTGAGCAGAGGGTCAGGGACTCCAAAAGCACGAAGAACAACCCAGAGCCCAGGCCTACTGATGGTATCATAGGCCTTGACCAGGTCAATAAAGCAGAGATGTAGGTCTTGCTGGAATTCCCTACACCTCTGCTGTAGCAGACGGACAGAAAATATGGCATCTGTGCAGGACCGCCCTTTCCTGAAACTGCACAGACAAACACAAAGATCAAAGACCACCACCACACAGACTCACACACACCACACACACCACCACCACACACACACACAGACTCACACACACCCACCACACAGCACCACACACCACCACCACACACACACACACCCACCACCGCACACTACCACCACACACCACCACACACCACCACCACACACACACAAACACACACACACCCCCACCACCGCACACAAAACAAAGATCCCCCGTGTAGCCCTTAACAGACTGTAGTGGGCAAGTGCTGTTAGCGAGCACCTATGAAGGCCGGAACGGTACACGATGGGGGTGGGTGGCCAGCACCACGCCCGACCGCCTTTGTATCCCCAGTGGCGATGTTTACACATCGCACCAGGTACTCATTTGAGGCTGAGTCGACCTAGGGGAGGCCCGGGACCGGTTCAGATATTCCGTCACTGGTGTTGGCCGTGAGCGGGAATCGAACCCGGGTCGCCAGGTTCATAGCGCAGCGTAGCGCTAACCACTACACTACCGCTCACCACACACAGTGACACACACACACACAGACACATACACACACACACACACACACACACACCACCACCACACACACACACACACCACCACCACACACACACACACAGACACACAGACAGACAGACACACACAGACACACACACACCACCACCACACACACACACAGATACACAGACAGACACACAGACACACACACAGTGACACACACACACAGTGACACACACACACAGTGACACACACACAGTGACACACACACAGTGACACACACAGTGACACACACACAGTGACACACACACAGTGACACACACAGTGACACACACACAGTGACACACACACACAGTGGACACACACACACAGTGACACACACACAGTGACACACACACACAGTGTGACACACACACACACAGTGACACACACACAGTAACACACACACAGTGACACACAGACACACACACAGTGACACACACACCACCACACACCACCACCGCACACACACACACACACAGGGCGTTGCCGTGGCGACCTACCGATGCTCTCGTCGGGCACGTTGCTAGGGTGACCGTGCGTTGCTAAGGGTGACGTGCGTTGCTAAGGGTGACGTGCGTGGGCGAGGCGGTGAGGCGGGCGTTGCCGTGGCGACCCACCGACGCTCTCGCGGGCACGTTGCTAAGGGAGACGTGAGTGGGCGAGGCGGTGAGGCGGGCGTTGCCAGTGGCGACCCACCGACGCCCTCGTCGGGCACGTTGCTAAGGTGACGTGAGTGGGCGAGGCGGTGAGGCGGGCGTTGCCATGGCGACCCACCGACGCTCTCGTCGGGCACGTTTGCTAAGGGTGACGTGCGTGGGCGAGGCGGTGAGGCGGGCGTTGCCGTGGCGACCCACCGATGCCCTCGTCGGGCACGTTGCTAAGGGTGACGTGAGTGGGCGAGGCGGTGAGACGGGCGTTGCCATGGCGACCCACCGATGCTCTCGTCGGGCACGTTGCTAAGGGTGACTGTGAGTGGGCGAGGCGGTGAGGCGGCGGCGTTGCCGTGGCGACCCACCGACGCTCTCGTCGGGCACGTTGCTAAGGGAGACGTGAGTGGGCGAGGCGGTGAGGCGGGCGTTGCCGTGGCGACCCACCGACGCTCTCGTCGGGCACGTTGCTAAGGGTGACGTGAGTGGGCGAGGCGGTGAGGCGGGCGTTGCCGTGGCGACCCACCGATGCCCTCGTCGGGGCACGTTGCTAAGGGTGACGTGAGTGGGCGAGGCGGTGAGGCAGACCTCCTCGTGGACGCCGTGGAAGTGGACCAGGGCGTCGGACAGCAGCCTGGGGGACACGCACGGCAACGGTCGCCGCGGCGACGAGGACCGCGGGCAACGGTCGCCGCGGCGACGAGGACCGCGGCAACGAGGACCGCGGCAACGGTCGCCGCGGCGACGAGGACCACTCGCTCACTTACTTACCCACACACTCACACACTCACCCACTCACTCAACCACTCACTCACCCACTCACCCACTAACTCACTCACCAACTCACTCACCCACTCACTCACTCAGCCACTCACTCACCCACTCACCCACTCACTCACTCACCCACTCGCCAACTCACTCTACCACTCACTCACCAAATCACTCTACCACTCACCAACTCACTCACCCACTCACTCACTCACCCACACACTCACTCACTCACTCACACACTCACTCACTCACCCACTCACCCACTCACTCACTCACCCACTCACCCACTCACCAACTCACCCACCCACTCACCCACTCACCCACTCACTCACCCACTCACTCACTCACTCACCCACTCACTCACCCACTCACTCACCCACTCATCTACTCACTCACTCACTCACCCACTCACTCACCCACCCACCAGCTCACTCTACCACTCACCCACCAACTCACCCAGCCACCAACTCACTCACTCACTCACCCACTCACTCATCCACTCACTCACTCACCCACTCACTCACCTACTCACTCACTCACACACCCACTCACTCACTCACCTACTCACTCACTCACCCACTCACTCACTCACCTACTCACTCACTCACCCACTCACTCACTCACCTACTCACTCACTCAACCACTCACTCACTCAACCACTCACTCACTCACTCACCAACTCACTGACTCACCCACCAGCTCACTCTACCACTCACCCACTCACTCACCCACTCACTCATCCACCCACTCACTCACTCACTCACCCACTCACCCACTCACCAACTCACTCAACCACTCACTCTACCACTCACCCACTCACTCACCAACTCACACACTCACTCACCCACTCACTCACCCACCAACTCACTCACTCACTCACACACTCACTCACCCACTCAATCACTCACTCACCCACTCACTCACTCACCTACCAGCTTACTCTACCACTCATCAACTCACTCACTCACCCACCAGCTCACTCTAGCACTCACCCACCAACTCACCCACCCACCAACTCACCCACCCACCAACTCACTCACTCACTCACCCACTCACTCACCCACGCACTCACCTACTCACTCACACACTCACTCACACATTCACTCACTCACTCACCAACTCACTCACTCACCACTCACTCTACCACTCACCCACTCACTCACTCAACAACTCACTCAGTTACTCACCCACCCACCCACTCACTCACGCACCCACCCACTCACCCACTCACTCACCTACCCAGCCACCCACTCACTCACCCACCCACCCACTCACCCACTCACCCACCCACTCATTCACTCACCCACTCACACACTCACTCACCAACTCACTCACCCACTCACTCACCCACCAACTCACTCACCCACTCAATCACCCACCAACTCACTCTACCACTCACCCACTCATTCTACCACTCACTCACCAACTCACTCACCTACTCACTCACTCACCCACTCACTCACCTACTCCACTCACTCACTCACCCACTCACTCACTCACTCACCAACTCATTCACTCACTCACTCACTCACCAACTCACTCACTTACTCACAAACTCACACACTCACCGACTCACTCACCTACTCACCCACCCACTCACCCACCCACCCACCCACCCACTCACTCACCAACTTACTCACCAGCTCACTCTACACCCACCAACTCACTCTACCACCCACCAACTCACTTTACCACCCACCATCAACTCACTCTACAACTCACTCACCCACCCACCAACTCACTCACCCACTCACCATCCCCCACCCACACCCACCCCCAACCCCCCCACCCACCCACACCCCACCCACACCACCCCCACCCACCCACCCCCCACCCACCCCCACCCCCCCCCACCCACCCACCCCCACCCTCACCTCGCTGGTGCTCTCAGCTCGTTGGGGCTGCCGCTTTTACTGAAGGAGGCCTCCACATTGTCCACGTCAGAGAAGCACAGATGGCGGGTCGTGGTGACGCCTGCAGCAACAACAACAACAACAATAATAATCACCACAACAACAATCAACAATCACCACAACAACAACAACAACAATAATCACCACAACAACAATCAACACAACAACAACAACAATCACCACAACAACAATCAACAACCACAATAACAACAATCACCACCACAATCACCACAACAACAACAATCACCACAACAACAACAATCACCACAACAACAACAATCACCAACCACAATCACCACAACAACAACAATCACCACAACAACAACAACAATAATCACCACAACAACAATCACCACAACAACAACAATAATCACCACAACAACAATCACCACAACAACAATCACCACAACAACAACAATCACCACAACAACAACAACAATAATCACCACAACAACAATCACACAACAACAATAATCACCACAACAACAATCACCACAACAACAATCACCACAACAACAATAATCACCACAACAACAACAATCACAACAACAACAATAATCACCACAACAACAATCACCACAACAACAACAATAATCACCACAACAACAATCACCACAACAACAACAACAACAATAATCACCACAACAACAATCACCACAACAACAACAACAACAATAATCACCACAACAACAATCACCACAACAACAACAACAATCACCACAACAACAACAACAACAACAATCACCACAACAACAACAATCACCACAACAACAATCACCACAACAACAATCACCACAACAACAACAATCACCACAACAACAATCACCACAACAACAACAACAACAACAATAATCACCACAACAACAATCACCACAACAACAACAACAACAATAATCACCACAACAACAATCACCACAACAACAATAATCACCACAACAACAACAATCACCACAACAACAACAACAATCAACAACAACAATCACCACAACAACAACAATCAACCACAACAACAACAATCACCACAACAACAACAATCACCACAACAACAACAATCACCACAACAACAACAATCACCACAACAACAATCACCACAACAAACAACAACAATCACCACAACAACAACAACAATCAACCACAACAACAACAATCACCACAACAACAACAATCACCACAACAACAACAATCACCACAACAACAATCACAACAACAACAATCACCACAACAACAACAATCACCACAACAACAACAATCACCACAACAACAATCAACAACCACAATAACAACAACAAACAACCACCACAATAACAACAACCAAAAACCTCAACAACAACAATCAACAACCACCACAACAACAACCACAACAACAACCAACCACAACAACAACCACAATAACAACAACAATCAACAACCACCACAACCACCACAATAACAACAACCACCACAGTAACAACAACCACCACAACAACAACCACCACAATAACAAGCACAACAACAACAATCAACAACAACAACAACAACCACCACAGTAACAACAACAACCACAATAACAAGCACAACAACAACAATCAACAACAACAACCACCACAATAACAAAAACAATCAACAACAACCACAACAACCACCACCACAATAACAACAACAACCACAATAACAAGCACAACAACAACAATCAACAACAACCACCACCACAACAACAACCACCACAGCATCACGCTGCGTGTATGGGCGTGTGTGTGTCTGTGTGTGTCTGTCTGTGTGTGTCACTGTGTGTGTGTGTCACTGTGTGTGTGTGTGTGTCACTGTGTGTGTGTATGTGTGTGTGTCTGTGTGTGTGTCTGTGTGTGTGTCTGTGTGTGTGTCTGTGTGTGTGTCTGTGTGTGTCACTGTGTGTGTGTCACTGTGTGTGTGTGTGTCTGTGTGTGTGTGTCCATGTGTGTGTTCTGTGCGTTCTGTGTGTATGTGTCTATATGTGTGTCTGTGTGTGTGTGTGTGTCTGTGTGTGTGTCTGTTCTGTGTGTGTCTCTGTGTGTTCTGTGTGTCTCTGTGTGTCTCTGTGTGTTTCAGTGTGTCTCACTGTGCCTCTGTGTGTCTCTGTGTGTCTCTGTGTGTTTCTGTGTGTCTCTGTGTGTTTCTGTGTGTCTCACTGTGTCTCTGTGTGTCTCTGTGTGTGTGTCTATGTGTGTGTCTGTGTGTCTGTGTGTGCGTTCTGTGTGTGTGTGTGTATGTGGGGAGCGGTAGTGTAGTGGTTTAGCGCTACGCTGCGCTACGAACCCAGCAGAGACTCGAGTTCCATTCCCAATCACGGCCAGCACCGGTGACAATTATCTGAACCGGTCCTGGGCCTCCCCTAGGTGGACTCAGCCTCAAATGAGTACCGGGTGCGATGTGTCGTAAAGATCGCCAATTGGTGAGTAAGGGAGTGGGTGAATGAATGGGTGGATGGGTGGGTGAGTGAATAAGTGGATGAGTGGGTGAGTGAGTGGGTGAGTGGGTGAGTGAATAAGTGGGTGAGTGGGTGGATGAGTGAATAAGTGGGTGAGTGAGTGGGTGGGTGGATGAGTGGGTGGGTGATTCACAGAGTGAGTGGGTGCATGAGTGGGTCAGTGGTGAGTGAGTTAGTGAGTGGGTGAGTGAGTTACTGAGTGGGTGAGTGAGTGAGTGAGTGACTGAGTGTGTGGGTGCGTGAGTGGGTGAGTGGGTGAGTGAACGGGTGAGTGGGTGAGTGGGTGAGTGAGTGAGTGGGTGAGTGAGCGGGTGGGTAAGTGAGTGGGTGAGTGAGTGAGTGGGTGGGTGAGTGAGTGTGTGAGTGGGTGAGTGAGTGGGTGAGTGAGTGAGTGAGTGGGTGAGTGAGTGACTGTGTGAGTGAGTGGGTGAGTGAGTGAGTGGGTGAGTGAGTGGGTGAGTGAATGGGTGAGTGAGTGGGTGAGTGAGTGGGTGAATGAGTGGGTGAGTGGGTGAGTGAGTGAGTGGGTGGGTGGGTGGGTGGGTGAGTGGGTGGGTGAGTGAGTGAGTGAGTGGGTGGGTGGGTGGGTGAGTGAGTGGGTGGGTGAGTGAGTGAGTGGGTGAGTGAGTGGGTGAGTGAGTGGGTGAGTGAGTGGGTGAGTGGGTGAGTGAGTGGGTGAGTGAGTGAGTGGGTGAGCGAGTGGGTGAGTGAGTGGGTGAGTGAATGGGTGAGTGAGTGGGTGAGTAAGTGGGTGAATGAGTGGGTGAGTGAGTGGGTGAGTGAGTGAGTGGGTGAGTGAGTGAGTGGGTGAGTGGGTGAGTGAGTGAGTGAGTGGGTAAGTGGGTGAGTGGGTGAGTGAGTGGATGAGTGAGTGAGTGAGTGGGTGAGTGGGTGAGTGAGTGAGTGAGTGGTGAGTGAGTGAGTGGGTGAGTGAGTGAGTGGGTGAGTGGGTGAGTGGGTGAGTGAGTGGGTGAGTGGGTGAGTGAATGGGTGAGTGAATGAGTGAGTGAGTGGGTGAGTGGGGTGAGTGGGTGAGTGGGTGAGTGAGTGAGTGGGTGAGTGGGTGAGTGAATGGGTGAGTGAGTGGGTGAGTGAGTGAGACCCACAGAGCCCCCACAGACTTGAGGGTGGTGAGCTGCGTTACCGCGAAAAACACCGCATCTGGATGATGAGGCGACACGTTTTGGGGTTGAGTATAATGCGGCACTGCTCCACCGCCTTGTCCAGCGAGCCCGTGGCCCTGAACACAGAGAGCATGGCCTACACACACAGCCACACGCAGACACACAGACACACACAGATACATATATACTCAGACACACACACACACAGCCACATAGACACACACAGACACACACAGACACACACACAGACACACAGACACACACAGACATACACAGACACACACTTACACACACACATACACAACAACAACCGCCATTCACCACTAAGTGGCGGTGACGTCACCACGACGCTTGTGCCAGGCTATGTGCACCTTGAGGCCACGTGAAGTGTCGAACGCCCGCTGGCAGGAGGTCACGGGGCAGACCCAGGTGCCACGGGTCGACTGACTGAGATGACTGGCTGATGCACCACCTGTGCCCCCTACTGTGCCAACCTGCTGTGCTTTAGCCACCTGGCGCTCCGCTCGTTGTTGTGAGCGTCGCTCCTCCGCCCTCAGTTGTTGTTGGAGGGCGACTGCCTCCAACTGCCCAGTAGCGTCCTTCACGAGCCTCCTCCACAGAGGCCGATCTTGACACCGCTGGTACCAGTCATCGGCAAGTCCACTCAGCTCCACGTCCTCCTGTACCACATCACTCCATCTCTTCTCTAGCCCGTGCCGCGCCCGTTTAGTCCCCTCGATCCGGCCGAACAAAAGCTGTTTCGGCATGCGGTGGCTGGGCATGCGGGCTACATGACCCAGCCATCGCAGCCTTGCCTGCCGGAGGAGCTCACCGATGGGACTTTGCCCAGATCTTTCGAGGATTTGTGAGCTCCTCACACAATCCAGCCTGGTTAAACCCAGGATTGATCGTAGGCAGGCTATCCTAAATGTGTCTAACCTGCAAAGATGTTCCGTTAGGGGGGTCCACGTTTCGCAAGCGTAGAGAAGGGAGGGAATGACCGTGGCCGAGAAGACCTGAAGCTTAGTGCAGAGCGACAGACCAGGTAGCTTCCACACAGCGTTACGCAACCGATGAAAAGATATTGCCGCTCGACTGATTCGGAGTGAGACCTCTGCTGTTAAACCGGAGCCGGTCATAAGCACACTGCCCAGGTATGGGAAACTCTCCACTCTCTCCACAACTGCCCCATCACCGATTGGGAGTTGTGGGAGTGGAGTGTCCGATGGTACAAAATACCCAGGCAGGTGCTTAGTTTTGGTGGGGCTGATGGTAAGGCCCCACCTCTTAGTGGCACGCTCCAGTCTCAGCAGCAGCGTCTCCAACACCTCCTCTGAATGAGCAGCTATTACCAAATCATCAGCATACATGTGGTTGAGCAATAGGGAGCCATCCCTTGACCGCACCCGGGCATCGATCAGCCTCCCACTATATCTGTACCATATGGAGATTCCCCCGGTACAGCTATTGAGGGCTTCACGAACTACGTGGTCGAAATAAATGTTAAATAATGTTGGAGCCAGAGGACATCCCTGTCGCACCCCAAGGTGTACAGGGAATGGCTCCGACTCCCGGCCATGTACAGTGAGGGAAAAAAGTATTTGATCCCCTGCTGATTTTGTACGTTTGCCCACTGACAAAGAAATGATGAGTCTATACTTTTAATGGTAGGTTTATTTGAACAGTGAGAGACAGAATAGCAACAACAAAAATCCAGAAAAACGCACGTCAAAAATGTTATAAATCGATTTGCATTTTAATGAGGGAAATAAGTATTTGACCCCTCTGCAAAACGTGACTTAGTATTTGGTGGCAAAACCCTTGTTGGCAATCACAGAGGTCAGACGTTTCTTGTAGTTGGCCACCAGGTTTTGGACACATCTCAGGAGGGATTTTGTCCCACTCCTCTTTTGCAGATCTTCTCCAAGTCGTTAAGGTTTTCGAGGCTGACGTTTGGCAACTCGAACCTTCAGCTCCCTCCACAGATTTTCCTACGGGATTAAGGTACTGGAGACTGGCTAGGCCCACTCCAGGACCTTAATGTGCTTCTTCTTGAGCCACTCCTTTGTTGCCTTGGCCGTGTGTTTTGGGTCATTGTCATGCTGGAATACCCATCCACGACCCATTTTCAGTGCCCTGGCCGAGGGGAAGGGAGGTTCTCACCCAAAAATTTGACGGTGCATGGCCCCGTCCATCGTCCCTTTGATGCGGCAGAAAAACACCACCCCAGAGCGTAATGTTTCCGCCTCCATGTTTGCCGGTACCTTCACGCTGATCCTGCAGCGGAAGGTCTCCTCGGCAACGTCGTCGCCCTGGCAACGGTCGCCACGGAGACGACCTCCATCGCCGCGGCGACGGTGCTCGTAGTGCAGGAAGCAGAGGTGGGAGAGGAGGAAACTGGCGTAGGCCGAGCGGCACGAGTTGACGGCACGCAGGGAGAGCTGGGGGCACACCACACGCTCGCTCACTCACTCACTCACTCGTTCACTCACTCACTCAGTCACTCACTCATTCACTCAGTCACTCACTCACTCAGTCACTCACTCACTCAGTCACTCATTCAGTCACTCACTCAGTCACTCACTCAGTCACTCACTCAGTCACTCACTCACACACTCACTCACTCACTCAGTCACTCACTCACTCACACACACACTCATTCACTCGTTCACTCACTCACTCAGTCACTCATACACTCACTCACTCACTCAGTCACTCAGTCACTTACACACTCACACACTTACTCACTCACACGCTCGCTCACTCACTCAGTCACTCAGTCACTCACTCATTCACTCACTCATTCACTCACTCAGTCAGTCACTCACACAGTCACACACTCACTCAGTCACTCACTCACTCAGTCACTCACTCACGCATTCACTCACTCACTCACACGCTCGCTCACTCACTCAGTCACTCACTCACTTACAGACTCACTCACTCAGTCACTCACTCAGTCACTCACTCAGTCACTCACTCACTCGTTCACTCACTCACTCAGTCACTCACACACTCACTCACTCACTCGTTCACTCACTCACTCAGTCACTCACACACTCAGTCACACACTCACTCACACACTTACACACTCACTCACACACTCACTCAGTCACTCACACGCTCGCTCACACACTCAGTCACTCACTCAGTCACACACTCACTCAGTCACTCACTCAGTCACTCACTCACTCACTCGTTCACTCACTCACTCAGTCACTCACACACTCACTCACTCGTTCACTCACTCACTCAGTCACTGACACACTCAGTCACACACTCACTCACACACTTACACACTCACTCACACTCACTCGTTCACTCACTCACTCACTCAGTCACTCACTCACCCACTCACCCACCCACTCACCCACTCACCCACCCACTCACTCACCCACCCACCCACTCACTCACTCACCCACTCACCAACTTACTCACCAGCTCACTCTACCACCCACCAACTCACTCTACCACTCACTCACCATATCACTCTACCACTCACTCACCCACCAACTCACCCGCTCACCCACCCACCAACTCACTCTACCACCCACCAACTCACTTTACCACCCACCCATCAACTCACTCTACAACTAACTCACCCACCCACCAACTCACTCTACCACTCACTCACCCACCCACCAACTCACTCTACCACTCACTCACCCACCCACCAACTCACTCACCCACCCACCTACCAACTCACTCACACATACACTCACTCACACACCCACTCACTCATTCACTCACTCACCCATTCACTTATTCACTCACCCACTCACCCATTCACTCATCCACCCACTCACTCACCCAGCCACTCACTCAGCCACTCACTCACCCACTCACCCACCCACTCACTCACTCACCTACCCACACACCCACCCACCAACTCACCCACACACTCACCCACCCACCCACTCACTCACCCACCCACCCACTCACCCACTCACTCACTCACACACTCACTCACCCACCCACCCACTCACTCACTCACTCACCCACTCACCCATTCACTCATCCACCCACTCACTCACCCACCCACTCACTCATCCACCCACTCACTCATCCACTCACTCACTCATTCACTCACCCACTCACCCACACACTCACCGACTCACCCACCCACCCACCCACCAACCCACTCACTCACCCACTCACCCACCCACTCAACCACTCACTCACCCACCCATCCACCCACTCACCCACACACTCAACCACCTACCCACTCACCCACACACCCACCCACCCACCCACTCACTCACTCACCCACTCACCCATTCACTCATCCACCCACTCACTCATCCACCCACTCACTCATCCACTCACTCACTCATCCACTCACTCACTCATCCACTCATTCACTCACCCACCCACTCACCCACCCACTCACCCACACACTCACCCACTCACCCACCCACCCACTCACCCACCCACTCAACCACTCACTCACCCACCCACCCACTCCCACAATCAACCACCTACCCACTCACCCACCCACCCACCCACTCACTCACCCACTCACCCACCCACTCAACCACTCACTCACCCACCCATCCACCCACTCACTCATCCACCCACTCACTCATCCACTCACTCACTCATCCACTCACTCACTCATCCACTCATTCACCCACCCACTCACCCACCCACTCACCCACACACTCACCCACTCACCCACCCACCCACTCACCCACCCACTCAACCACTCACCCACTCCCACAATCAACCACCTACCCACTCACCCACCCACCCACCCACTCACTCACCCACTCACCCACCCACTCAACCACTCACTCACCCACCCATCCACCCACTCACCCACCCACTCACCCACTCACCCACCCACTCACCCACCCACCCACTCAACCACTCACCCACCCACTCACCCACCCACTCACCCACCCACTCACCCACACACTCACCCACTCACCCACCCACCCACTCACCCACCCACTCAACCACTCACTCACCCACCCATCCACCCACTCACCCACCCACTCACCCACCCACTCACCCACCCACCCACTCAACCACTCACCCACCCACTCACCCACCCACCCACTCAACCACTCACTCACCCAATCACTCACTCAACCACCCACTCACCCACTCACTCACTCACCCACTCACTCACTCAACCACCCACCCACTCACTCACCCCCTCAGGTAAGGCTGCCAGGTGAATTTCTTCTCCAAATTTCGCAAGGGACTGAACGGCTCTGCCCAACACTGCAAACATCATCATCATCACATTATCATAATCAGCACATCATCGTCATCATCATCACATCATCATCAGCACATCAACATCACAGCAGCATCACATCATCATCAAATAATCATCATATCATCACATCATCATCAGCACGTCATCATCATCATCACATCATCATCACTACATCATCATCACATTATCATCATCAGCACATCATCAGCATCAGCACATCGTCATCATCACATCATCATCATCACATCGTCATCATCATCACATCATCATCATCACTACGTCATCATCATCACATCAACATCAGCACATCATCATCATCATCAGCACATCAACATCACATCAGAATTACATCATCAAATCATCACATCATCAGCACATCGTCATCATCATTACATCATCATCAGCACAACAACCGTCATATGGGAGCCTCAGTCTGGCTCTGTGAGTCTTAGTGATTAACACTGAACCCTGTGGGAGTCTTAGTCTGGCTCTGTGAGTCTTAGTGATTAACACTGAACCCTGTGGGAGTCTTAGTCTGGCTCTGTGAGCCTCAGTGATTAACACTGAACCCTGTGGGAGCCTTAGTCTGGCTCTGTGAGTCTCAGTGATTAACACTGAACCCTGTGGGAGCCTTAGTCTGGCTCTGTGAGTCTCAGTGATTAACACTGAACCCTGTGGGAGTCTTAGTCTGGCTCTGTGAGCCTCAGTGATTAACACTGAACCCTGTGGGAGCCTTAGTCTGGCTCTGTGAGCCTCAGTGATTAACACTGAACCCTGTGGGAGCCTCAGTCTGGCTCTGTGAGTCTCAGTGATTAACACTGAACCCTGTGGGAGCCTCAGTCTGGCTCTGTGAGTCTCAGTGATTAACACTGAACCATGTGGGAGCCTTAAGTCTGGCTCTGTGAGTCTCAGTGATTAACACTGAACCCTGTGGGAGCCTCAGTCTGGCTCTGTGAGCTTCAGTGATTAACACTGAACCCTGTGGGAGCCTTAGTCTGGCTCTGTGAGTCTTAGTGATTAACACTGAACCCTGTGGGAGCCTCAGTCTGGCTCTGTGAGTCTCAGTAATTAACACTGAACCCTGTGGGAGCCTCAGTATGGCTCTGTGAGTCTCAGTGATTAACACTGAACCCTGTGGGAGCCTTAGTCTGACTATATGAGCCTCAGTGATTAACACTGAACCCTGTGGGAGCCTTAGTCTGACTATATGAGCCTCAGTGATTAACAATGAACCCTGTGGGAGCCTTAGTCTGACTATATGAGCCTCAGTGATTAACAATGAACCCTGTGGGAGCCTTAGTCTGACTATATGAGCCTCAGTGATTAACACTGAACCCTGTGGGAGCCTTAAGTCTGGCTCTGTGAGTCTCAATCGTAGGTTAAAAAAACCGCACGCAAACATTTCTGAGGTAAATTATCATCAAATAATGTCGAGTAAATTTTTTTTTTAAAACCCCCATTGCCGGATGTTGATTAAAAGGAAGAAAAAAAAATTATGCATCGTTAAATAATGTTGATTTTTAAACAACAACAACAAATATACACGTACATTTTCTTTGGTTCTTTCGGTAAAGTCACGTAGTTATTTCAATGCTAAATTCTCCTGTTTGATTTGTACTAAGTGCCTCGGTGAATGTGTATGCTCTGACTTTAACGTGTATGCTTTAACTTAGCTATTTCAATGCTAAATTCTATGAGTCACAAGCTAATCATTCAGCTATTTCAATGCTAAATTCTATGCTAATTCCTTTGTCAAGGCGCTTTGTTTCCTCTCACACAGCTTAAAGGTCGCGATCTGAACGTGGCTCTTTCACTCCAGCGCTGTCCTACCAGACAGTCTCGTCCCTTCACCTGATGAAGGCCGCGTGTGTTGTGGCCGAAACGTCAAATCTACGTGACTTTACCGAAAGAACCAAAGAAGATGAATCATTGCAGTCACGAAAGCTTTAAATCGAAAAATACACGTACATTGTAAAAAAAAATGTTGATGTTAAAAACAAAAATAAAATCGAATCCGACCTTTCACATTGCTCCCGGGGAGAACGCACTTCATGTCTGAGCCGCGACATGCGAAGAATAAGTTGTTGTTGTTGTTTATTTGTTGATGTTGTTAACTCTTATAAACGTCGACTACTGTACCCGTTTCCCGCCAAACGCCATTGGCCCATCGATTCCTCACAGAGTACCCACGATTCACCAACCGATTCTGAATCGATTAACTAACTGTAACTGAATCGATTCACCGACCGCCACCAATAACGTTGGGAGACCAATGCTCAGCAGAGTCGATTCCAACGAATCGAAGCCAACGTTGCGCCCTCATTAGTTTCAACGCGGAATCGCCGATTGCTAAACTTTTGGTCGACTCGCGACCCGGAATCGATTCTTTCGATGTTTATAATCGATGACGTCGGGAGACTTGATCAATCCACTGTTGGATGGAACCGTGAATATTGATCCATCAGTGTGAACGTTAAACTATGGAGCTTTGTCGTTTTGTTTTTACGGCAGGGCGAACCCACACGCGCTCCTGCATACCAGGCCACTACGTTGTCTCAGACACTCACCCAGACACTCACCCACTCACTCACCCATTCACTCACCCACTCACTCACCCACTCACTCACCCACCCACTCACTCACCCACTCACTCACCCACTCACTCACCTACTCACTCACCCACCCATTCACTCACCCATTCACTCACCCACTCACTCACCCAGTCACTCACCCACTCACTCACTCACCCATTCACTCACCCATTCACTCACCCACTCACTCACTCACCCAGTCACTCACCCAGTCACTCACCCATTCACTCACCTACTCACTCACCCACTCACCCACCCACTCACCCACCCATTCACTCACCCACTCACTCACCCACTCACCCACTCACTCACCTACTCACTCACCCACCCATTCACTCACCCAGTCACTCACTCACTCACCCACTCACTCACCCACTCACTCACTCACCCATTCACTCACCCAGTCACTCACTCACCCACCCACCCATTCACTCACCCAGTCACTCACTCACCCACCCATTCACTCACCCAGTCACTCACCTACTCACTCACTCACCCATTCACTCACCCAGTCACTCACTCACCCATTCACTCACTCACCCATTCACTCACCTACTCACTCACCCACCTATTCACTCACCCAGTCACTCACTCACTCAACCACTCACTCACCCACTCACTCACCCACCCACTCACTCACCCATTCACTCACCCAGTCACTCACTCACTCACCCAGTCACCCACCCATTCACTCACCCAGTCACTCACCTACTCACTCACCCATTCACTCACCCACTCACCTACCCACTCACCCACCCACTCACTCAGCCACTCACCCACCCATTCACCCACCCATTCACCCAGTCACTCACTCACTCACCCATCCACTCACCCACCCACTCACCCAACCACTCACCCACCCACTCACCCACTCACTCACCCACCCACTCACTCACCCACTTACTCATCTACTCACTCACCCACCCACTCACCCACCCACTCACCCACCCACTCACCCACCCACCCACTCACCCACTTACTCACCTACTCACTCACCCACTCACTCACCTACTCACTCACCCAACCACTCACCCACTCACTCAGTCACCCACTCACTCACTCACCTACTCACCCAACCACTTACCTACTCACTCACCCACTCACCCACCCACTCACTCACCCACTCACCTACTGACCTACTCACCCACCCACCCACTCACCCACCCACTCACCCACTCACCCACCCACTCACCCAACCACTCACCCATCAGCGCCATCTCCTCTCTCACCAGCAGGGGGCGACAGAGCCAATTGTGAACTCTATGGGTGTCCAAAGCAGCCTCAGCAAGCGTACGCAATACAAAATATTTCTTATTACTGTTTGCAAAACACAACGTTCTATAAACATAAAAACTGATGTATAATTCTAAACACCTCATTATTTACAACTTTGAAAAAAAAAATTTTAAGAATAAAAATGTGCATCGGCCGGGAATCGAACCCGGGCCTCCCGCGTGGCAGGCGAGAATTCTACCACTGAACCACCGATGCTGTACGAATACGTTGGGTACCGTAAAGCCTTACATAGTCAACCATTACCGTGTCAAAGTCAACTTTTTGTGCTTTTTAACAATGTTAAAGTTTATTTTTAATTAGTTTAATGAGGTAATATAGGTCACATATTACCTCATATATGATGTGTCAACCTCCTCATACCAACTCCATCACTAATGCTGAGCAGTCGTCCTTACATAGCCAACCTTTAAAGCGGTATACAATGTAATTTTATTGGTTTTATGAGGTAATGAGTAACATATATCATATATTACCTCATATAATGTAGTATTACATTCTAATACCAATTCTACCACTAAACCACCGATGCCGTGCATGAGATAGATGCCACTGATCGTTATATAGTCAATAATTAGTGTTAATTTGTATTATTATTAGTTTTATGAGGTAATATGAATCACATATTACCTCATAAATAACTTCATATATTAAGTATGTTATCCTAATACCACTGATTGACAATATCAGGACGAATGGTATCTATACATTGCAGTTACAGCATAAGTGGTTAAGTGGTGGTAGACTTGGTAGAAGGATATTCTTGGTTCTTTAGGTAAAGTCACCACCACGTAGAAGGGAAACAATAAAATAATAAAAATATAAAACAATAAAATTATTATTCTTGGTTCTTCAGGTAAAGTCACCACCACGTAGAAGGGGAACAATAAAATAATAAAAATATAAAACAATAAAATTATTTTTTGATTTAAAGCTTTCGTGACTGCAGTAATTCATATTCTTAGTTTTTTCGGTAAAGTCACGTTGAAGAGAAACAACAAAATAACAAAATATATATAAAACAATAAAAAATTCTCACGACGTTTCGACCATAACTCAAACGGTCATCATCAGGTGTGTCGGTTTGCATAAATTTATTTTGAAAACGGCATATTTATTTATATATATAAAAATAACGTTTGCGTCACGCGCAACGATGGCAGTTTGCCAGGACTAGTCCATCTATTTTTTGAAAAGAGGAGGGGGGAGACGAAATTTGTTTTTATGTATGCTGTCTGAAAGCCACTGTAAGCGTGAACAATCAATCAAGAACTGAAATGATTTATCAAATCTTTCCAATGATTGCTAAGATAGAATCCATCTTCTCGGTTGAAATTGTCTCTGTGTTTGTATATGTGGATAGCCTCATGAACGAATCTCTCATGGAAGCCAGATGGCTTACAAAGAACCTCCGTCTTGGAAAAGTCAATGGCATGTGAGCCTACTGAATTAGAACAATGATCTGCTACGGCCGAGGTGTTGGTCCTACCGTGTTTAAGGTCTGCTTTATGTTCACGAATGCGGTCCGAGATATGGCGTTTGGTTTCTCCAATGTAACTACTACCACAGAGGCAACTTAAGTTTGTAGACACCAGGGTATTGTATGTCCGGAATCACATCTTTTACAGACGGAACCAGATCACGGATTTTATGTAATGTGTTGAAACGGACCTGGATCTTGTGTTTATTCAAGATTTTGGAGATCTTTTTGTGATCCCAAGCAATGTAGGGTAAAGTGATGGTTTTGAAAGGCTCCTCAAGAGGGTTCTTCTTCATGGTTTGAGTGATAGCTTTGCGGATTGTATAGTCGGAGTAACCATTAGCCCTAAGAGCTTGGTGTACGTGCTTGAGTTCACTGCTTATGTGTTCCTGGTCGGATATGCATTGGGCTCTATGATACAGAGTCTTGATGAGAGAATTCTTCTGTGATGGATGGTGGTGGGAATCCGGTTTCAGATAAGCATCCGTATGGGTAGCTTTCCTGTAGACAGAGTGGCTCATTGAACCATCAGGTCTCTTTTTAATTAGGACATCCAAAAAAGGTATCTTGCCATCTATTTCGACTTCCATGGTAAATCTGATGGCTGGGTGTATGGAATTGATGTGGTCGAAGAATTTGTCTAGAGCAGGCCGGCCATGTGGCCAGATGACAAAAGTGTCATCCACGTACCTCTTCCATAAGGTTGGGCGCAGAGTGGCAGTCTGGATGGCGTCAGTCTCAAATTTCTCCATGAAAATGTTAGCTATAACTGGAGAAAGGGGGGAGCCCATTGGGGTGCCCTCAGTTTGTTTGTAGAAAGTTCCATTCCAAGTGAAGTATGTATTGGTTAAACAGTGTCTCACCAGGGGGGGTACCTCAGTGTTTAGTCCTATATATAAATATATAAATATAAATATGCCGTTTTCAAAATAAATTTATGCAAACCGACACACCTGATGATGACCGTTTGAGTTATGGTCGAAACGTCGTGAGAATTTTTTATTGTTTTATATATATTTTGTTATTTTGTTGTTTCTCTTCAACGTGACTTTACCGAAAAAACTAAGAATATGAATTACTGCAGTCACGAAAGCTTTAAATCAAAATTTAATCGCCTCTACGGGGAGGGTTTTCACATAACTTTAAGATCTTTCAACAAACTCCGGGATAAGAAAGCTCAGCTGATCGAGTCTCTCACCTTCCTGAAGAGATGCCGCGACTCTGGGGTAATACCAATCGCATTTACACTCACCTCTGCTACTGTAACTTCTTCTAATGCGAAACGAATTCTTTTCAAAACTAGCTTAGCTCTTATCTCAGAAAAAATCAGACTTATACGCACAGAACTAGATCAGTTAGACAAGACACTCTACAAATCACACTTATCATTGACGGCAATAATGTCCACATCGGATTGGGAACATGTAGACAATATGACTGCCTCTTCAGCTGCTACTATGTCGACCAAATGTAAGGAAAACCTGATTTCCAAATTTAACCTCCTCTTAAACAAAAGACCGGACCCACACACCAAAAAGTTAGACGTTAATAAAGTCGTAATTAATCGCAGTAACAGTTCTATTTCCGATGGTCTGAAATCCGTTTTAGCTAAAGGTCTAAACTTTGCAGTCACACCTAAACACATACCAGTTAATGATATAATTGCCCAAGTAGACGTTGCTCTCAGGGGCCTGGGTCACATCGCTGCAGACGTAGCAAGATCTGAAATCGCTGCAACCCTCAAAAACGCTAAGATGCCAGCTAGCAACCTCAGCAAAGATGAGCGTTTTGAATTATATAAATTAAAAAAGAGGAATGATATTGTAGTTCTCTCAGCTGA